CTGTGTGTGTGTGTGTGTGTGTGTGTGTGTGTGTGTTTGTGTGTGTGTGTCTGTGTGCGTCTGTGTGTGTCAGTGTCTGTGTCTGTGTGTATCAGTGTCTGTGTGTGTCTGTGTGTGTCTGTGTGTGTGTGTGTGTGTGTGTGTGTGTCTGTGTGTGTCTGTGTGTGTGTGTGTGTGTGTGTGTGTGTGTGTGTGTGTGTGTACTCTCACGTGATTCATGTGCAGGTTGCTCTGTCATCTCAGTTCCAGTGTCCAAACCTTCCTTCCCTGGCCTCAGTTTCCCCCCTGCTAGTCAATCAGCCATCTGTCCTTTGTTAGCCTCTGGGCAATTTTGGGCCCAATGTCCGTGCTTTTTGCAGATATAACAAGCATCAGATCTGCCACGTCCTTTTCCTCTGCCTCCGCGACCCCGACCTCTGTCTCTTCCTTTGCCTTTTCTCTGATCTTGTTGCAGCTGTGCCATTTGCAGCCTGTCTTTCTGCTGCTGTCTCTGCAACAATTGACTCAGTTCAGCGGTTGTGGGTCTGTATTGTTGGCAAAAGATCAGCAGAGGTTCAACATATTTCACCCCACTGTCCTGGACTCGAGGAAGCTGCTGTGATGCTTCCTTCATCTCCGGACACCACTTCCATCAGTGGGGCTGTCACATGGAGTTTTGTAGGTGGATGGAGGTTGGTAAATAAATCTTGTTGGATCTGGTGTGGTGTGGGCTGGATGGCCCCCAGTATGGTGGGGGGGGGTTGCTTTTTCTACTGCTCCCCCTCCCACACTGCTTTGCCCACATGTCCAGCTGGTCAATACTTCCCAAACCATAATTAGCAATCATGTAATAATATTAGTCTTGTTCCTTCTTGCTGTTATTTGAACCCATTCTCTATCGGTTGTTTAAATAATCTTTAATTCCCAGAATGTAATAAAGAATGATCCTTTTAGGGGTTTTCTGTTAAATTTAGAATTAGGTGTCTTTTTTGTTTTAAATTTGGGAGGTTTGTTTAAGTCTGGTGTTATGAGGACCTTGAAGCCGGGTGCCAGGGAAAAGATTGTTCACAGATCTATATTTTCTCTAAATTCTTACGTGTTTCTATTAAATGTTAGCAAAGCTAGTAGTCTGAGGAAATCCTATCCTGTTTACAAAAAGCCTTTGTTCACACGTTCACACGTTCTGTCAGTTTGTGTTTTTTTTAAATGTTGACCACTAGTTTTAGTTTCACAGTGGCAAATTTATTATTGCTAACTTGTCCGGACGTTGCATATGTATTGTTGCTAACTTGACCTCGGAGCCCTACACCTCTAAGACCCAGGGCGTAAAAAAGCGACGCCAAGGGGTCTTAACTACATTAGTTGGAAGTGAGAATGTCCTGCCCCTGGAGCCTCAGGGTGCCGTGGGGTTGGTGTCCGCTTTGCCTAGTCTGGGCGATGCTCTGGACCTGGGGGTTTGGGGGCGTTGGGCCTCATGGTTTTGCTCATGTCTGGGGTGGGTGGCCTGTCCCTGGGCCTGGGGTCCATTGTGTGGCGTCTCACGCTCACTAACAACTACATTCTGCAACAGGCTTATGCACACACATATGTCGTGTAAAATATTCAAGACTTGGGCCAGTAAGGAAGCTTGAACTTTTACTATTATTTGCATTATCAACAAAAACAGACACCAATTAGAATACAAAGGAGTATATTAAAACTCTCTTGTTAAAGTACAATCTGTCTGGCATAAGATGCGACCATGTCAAATACCGTAAAACAATGATAAAAAATAACTGAATGCTGAACTTACATATTACAGAGTACAGTCTAGACCTGATTAATATGAAAAGCCCTGTTGTTGCAAAGCGCTATATAAATAAAATATGAATTGACTTAAGTATGGCATGGTGGTTAAAATTTGTGTTTGACTTTTGCAGGTGCCACAAAACATCACCATGTCACATGACATGAAAACCTAGCAGGAGCAAGGCAGCTGCAGTCGCTGATTCTGGCAACCACAGTTCCTTCTCTTCGGCTGCACAAGTTGGACCACCTTGATCTTGTGGCCTTTGTCTTGAAAATGCCACAAGATTAGTGATGTACTAGCTCACAGTAAACTCACACAGGTAGAATGTGTCTGATTCTACGGCGGTATTATAATACCCTGCCCCTGCACTCACCTGCAGCTCGCGTTTGGCTATCAAGTCGGCGAAAGTCAATGCAGCGGTGAGCGCAGCGCAAATTGCTTCCTATCTGGAAGGGCCATTAGTGTTTAGCTTGTAGCATGAGCTATAACATTAGCTTCGTAGCATTAGGATGTTAATGTTAAGGTGATTAATGTAACTTGTAAATGATACATGGCAACCAAGTCAGACCAGCTATTAGCTCCTAAAGCCAATCAAAATATTAACAAGAGCGGTTGGGATGCTTCCCTAGAGTCTTCCTCAGCTCAGGGAAATATTGTGGCAGCAGGGGAACGAATGGAACCCCTCCCCGGATGAACTGGACTGCATGTCCCATCATCAGCAGGAGGGTGATGCCATTGAGGCCGCCGGAGTGACATCATCAATCGGTATTTCCAGCCTGCGCCAAGATAGAGAAAAACAAAAGATAAAACAGCCAGCTGTGCCAGAAAAACTGAACTTCGTGCGAGTGCTGAACCGAACTCCAGGGCTTGGATGCAGAGTTCATGCTAGCAAGCGATGGCTGGATGCTGGACAAGCTGTCGAGGTGGTCATCCACCTCGGAGTTGGCTGCTGGGCTAGGCCTCGCGGAGCAGTGGAGTCGAATCACCAAATCTCGTTCATTAAAATGAACTAATCATTTTTTGTAATTTTGTTCATTTTAACTAGGCTGGTAATTGCGGCGCAGCAGCCGACCTCGGAGGTAATTCAGCTCCTGGTGGAACCCTGTCAGGGCTCTGAAGTGGACCCAGAAAAACTCTCATCAGCTGTTAACACTAGCAGGACTAACGTTAAGGTACGGCTGAGTTAAAACTATGGCACAACATCACTGTGTGCGCTGTAATAATGTTACGCTTTGTTAAATGTCACAGAATTTCTAAAATAGATATATAATGTCAGTTCAGTGACTGTTACCTGACAACCGACTTGCCTGTCATTCCCTGGTGCTAGCAGTAACTCAGCCTGCCAAGTGAAGACAGACTCTGAAGACCCATGTGAGTGGTGAACTATTAGTTAATTCCTGCTCCACAGTAGCCGAGATGTCACGTGAAAAATGAACGACTCAAACCCAGAGACCCACAGTTACGAGTCCTGAACTAATCAGTTCTGTTTCCTATGCTGCCTGCTAACCACAGCCCTGCAGCCAGCTGTCACGTGACAAATGAACGACTCAAACACAGAGACCCACAATTGAGAGTCGTGAACTAATCAATACTGTTTCCTGTGCTGACGGAGCCCATGCAGCTGCCGTGTGACAAGTGAACGTAAGAGTCCGAGACTATTCACGCATGCGTGAAAATTAACAAATTACTCACTGAGACAACCCGTTCCTCCTGAGTCACATACAAGATTAGGTCAAATGAACGAAATGTTCTTTGAACGACAATACTAAGCGGCTTCCCGCGGGATCGAGGTGTTGAAGGAACTGCAGGTGGTGTTCGATACTGAGGTTTTCCTCAAACTCTAAAGTCTCGAAGTTACATTCAGATGCTCTGTCAAATGTTCGTGGTGTATACGTATATGTATATAAATAACTGTTTAAGTTGTTTTATTTTATTTGTCACCATATATTAATATGGTTATTAAGTGTTAATATGCTATAATACTTAATTATAGGCTATGTTGTGTGTGTAGCATGAAGGATCTACAAATTTAGTTTTGTTTTGCAGTCTTGTGCTGTATAATGACAAATAACCTTGTACCTTGTACCTTCTCTTCCAACGCCTCATTTTGTTGGCAATGTATAACTTTGAAATCAATTTGATAAAGATTATGTTTTGTTATCTCTATCTCTGTGGATTTCATAAATCGTCCACGAACGCATGGAGACAACATTTCCAGAAGTGAACAGACTTTTCAGTGAATCTTTGGGACCTGATTTGAACCCTATCTTGGACTGTTACAGTGATCAGCCGCTCCTCAGTCTCTACTTATTGTCCGCTCTGTTTACTTAAGATGAGGCAGCTGACAAAGACTTATTCTAATCAAACAAGTCAGGTTTACTCTTTAAGCAAGATTGGCTCCTGCTTACCTTCACAATAACCTACTGCCAAGAGTCACCCACCGCTGAAATTAAATAACAGATGGTGCTTATTCTGATGAGTCGAATGGATGTGGTTGTCAATGCAGGGAGTGAACTTCATATCTAAATGTCAGACTTCATATCTAAATGTCAGGCAGCGTTTATTGCTCTGATCTTTTGATGCAAAGTGAAAGTTGGTGTGATGATTTCTCTGCATTTAAATAATTGGGGACCCAACACTGACACCATCATCAAGAAGGCCCAGCAGAGGATGTACTTCCTACGCCAGCTCATGAAGCTCAACCTGCCTAAGGAGCTGCTGATCCACTTCTACACAGCCATCATCCAGTCTGTCCTCTGCACGTCCATCACTGTCTGGTTTGGATCTGCCACCAAAAAGGACAGGAGCAGACTACAACGGACAGTCAAGACTGCAGAAAAAATAATCGGTGCCAACCTGCCCTCCATTCAGGACTTACCAATTTCCAGAATCAGGAAACATCATTGCAGACACAGGACACAGTGTGTGATTTTATTATTGTATTATTGTTTAAGTAAGCACATCATGAGCAATTTACAATCCAGGGTCAAATTCCTAGTATGTGTAAATAAAGCTGATTCTGATTCTGAAATAAGCAGGTGAACACACATGTGATAGGTGTATTCCACATTTCTCACCCACAGCCCACTGGGTTAAACAAGGACAGGTGTCTCCTCCCAGGCTTGGCACAAGCTCCCCATCCTTCCCTCCCCCACCCAACTCATCTCAACAGTATAAAAAGTCAGCTGCTCTTTGAGCTCTTCACTTTCTCCTCTCCAGCTGAAACAGAAAGACTAACTTCTTTGCCTTCATCACCACACAAAATGATTGCCTACAGAAATAGAATCTCTAGGTCTCCTGGTGGTGGAGTCTACAGGGGCAGCAGTGCGTCCATGCACGGTGGAGCTGGAGGCTCTCACGTTAGAATCTCCGTTGGTGGCTCCGCCATGTCCATGTTCGGCGGTCGAAGTGGTGGAGGTGGCTCTGACTTCGGCAGTAGCATGGAGTCCGTTATCACTGAGAAGGCCACCATGCAGAACCTGAACGACCGTCTGGCGGCCTACCTGGAAAAGGTGCGCAGCCTGGAGAAGGCCAACAGCGAGCTGGAGCTGAAGATCAGGCAGTTCTTGGAGAGCAAGACCTCCCCCTCCTCCAGGGACTACAGTGCCTACTACGCCACCATCGCAGAGCTGCAGGGCAAGGTAGGCTCACATCTGACCCCCAAATCTTGCATCAAACAACAAACACAGCAGGTGTACAGTATGCTCTACCTGTCATCACCTGTTCATCCAGTGAGCAACTCAGTGGCCACTTTATTAGGCACTCCAGTACATTCCACTGCAACAGCTCTGCTATGACATCTGTCTTAATGAACGTTTTTGTTGACATTGTTAGAAATGTGTATATTAAATTACATTTTTATAACTGAGGTCATAATAAAATAGATGATAGTTCTGGCAGGGCTGCTGTATTGGAAAACAAATGTGGATTTCAATGCGCTCAAGGATCTTCAAGGAGTCATGCAAGAACAATATGAAAGTACAGATGTTAAAGTCATGATATACTGTCAATAAAATTGACAAAGTCTGACGTCATGCAAATACTGACAGTTGACATATTTTGCAGGAAAAGGGGTGGAAGTGGCTTTCATTGCAGATTTATGATGCAGATGTTACCTATCTTTGCATTAGTTGTAGGGCTGGGCAATAAAACAATAATGATAATTATCGCAATATAATGTTCCTCAATAACAATATAATAAATGTTCAATATATCATCAATAAATATTTGGGTTAATTCAATTGAATCACAAACAAATTAGTAGTTAATTTTTCTATTAAAATGTTTTTTGTTGAGGAAACAGGACTAACAATTTGTTGAAAAAGTTGAAAAAAATCATAATTCTCCGATTTGTTAAGTGATCCACTGTTTGGCATCAAGTGTTTGTCATGTTCTGACCATAAAGAAAAGTTTAACCACACAATTAACCATCTGGTTTCTTCAATTTTCACTCAAGAGCACAAATCAGCTTTTAAACTTGGAATAAAGAATGACATTTATTGTGATAATTATTGACATTGAATGATATGAAATGTTTTTGTTGTGATAACATTTTTGGCCTTATCGCCCAGCCCTTATTACCGTTACCGTTACTTTTCTGTCTACATAGATGGAGACCTTTAAAATATTAGTAAAAATCCCTAAAATGCACCATTAAAGAATGAACATAAAAAGCTAACAGCACTGCTTTCCTCTTTCATCACACAGATCCAGGATGCTACCAGAATTAATGGTGGCATCTACCTATCCATTGACAACGCCAAGCTGGCTGCCGATGACTTCAGGCTTAAGTAATTGAATTAATTCATTAATAAGTGGCTAAGAGTTAAATTTAAAGGGCCTGAAGCAGAAATAAGACATGGATTACATAAAGTTATGATGAGACATTAAAAATGAAAAATCACTGCATCACCAAGCTTCCAGCCCCACCAATAGTCGAAGACATCAAGGCCCTGTTCTTTGAACTTCTTTTGAGGATGAATTTCACACACATTCAGATCTGGTTTTGGAAAAAACATATTTAGAAATGAATGCTTTGTCCTGTGTGCAGGTATGAGAATGAGCTGGCCATGCGTCAGTCGGTGGAGGCCGACATCGCCGGGCTGAGGAGGGTCCTGGACGAGCTGACTCTGAGCCGGACCGACCTGGAGATGCAGCTCGAGGGTCTGAAGGAGGAGCTGATCTTCCTCAAGAAGAACCACCAGGAGGTCAGTGGGCTTTCAGGTCTAAAAGAGTTTTGGGGTAAATAAAATGGCTAAATGACTTTAAACACTGTCACCTTGTAGGAGCTGCTGGCGATGCGAGCTCAGATGAGCGGTCAGGTGAACGTGGAGGTGGATGCGGCTCCAGCAGAGGACCTCAATAAGGTCATAGAGGAGGTCAGGAAGCACTACGAAGCCACTGTTACCAAAAGCTGCAAAGAACTGGAGGCGTGGTTCAATGCAAAGGTAAGGACCTGATTTTAGCCACGCTAGAGACTCTTGGACTCACGTCTGTCCGTCCACACCCCTGTAGTTCAGACTGAAACATTGTGATGAAATGTGGTTCAGACCTTCATGCTCCCCTCAGGATGAACTGTAATAACTTTGGTGATCCTCAGACTTTCCATCTAGCGCCATCATCAGGTCAACATGTTACTAACGTGCTGTTTCCTCCACAGACAGAAAACCTTCACAAAGAAGTCGCTATCAGCACAGAAACCCTCCAGTCGTCCAAATCCGAGATCACAGAGGTCAAACGAACGCTGCAGAGCCTGGAGATCGAGCTGCAGTCCCAGTTCAGCATGGTGAACATCACGTCTCATCACATCTTTTATGTCCAGTGAATTTGGGACGGATTTACTAACATCCCGAATAAAGAGTGCTAAATTGCGTGTGCATTCTAAAATATTGCACGTGCAATTTTAGTGCCTGTTATGGGTAATTAACTAAGAATTATTGCGTAGATGACAACAGGAGCAAACACAATGGAGGTCGGAGTATTTAAATGAGAGTTTTGCGTGTTTTAATGGTTTCCGCCATGGAGAGTTGAAGGGAAAGCAGCAACCGTGTAAAAACCTTGGTTTGTTTCGTTCAGTGCGTCTCGAGTATGTGTAAATCGTATGTACCTGCCCATCCTGCCTGAGATTGCACTAAGTACTTGTGACAGCACACTTGAAAAAAGCTTTGAGCAGCAGAAACAGATACAGTATGCTGGAATGATCCAGACGCGAGGAAATGCCAGCAGATCGTGCTTCCTCCAGCCAGAGGTAATGACCACCGACCGTCCGTACCGTGCCCGGTCGCTCCATGATCTCCTGTCCCTTTACGCCCCAACCCCTCTCTGTTACCTACAATGGGTTGTGTTGCCATTACGACCGGCGCGCTGTGAACACTTGGTGATCGTTCCCTCTGGCTGGATGAATTTTACACGTGATCCGTGCACTACTGCAGCTGGAGGTTCTCCACAGCACCACGCAACTTTCTAAATTCTTCCATCTCAAAGCTAAAGGGAAATACAAAAAAACCAAATCAATTCATATAGTTAATCGGATTTTCTAGCCTATATATTGGATATAGAACAATATTATCTAATATTGTTAATTTCTTACGGCTGTGTCTCCTCGCAACGATAACAGCAGCCATCTCTACTTAACACTTGGCCGTTTGCACCTTCCTTTCAAATGTATTAAATACAGAGGCTTTTGCACTCACATGAAATTGCTTTTAGACTTCTTAGATCACATTGTGTGTGGTAAATAAATGTATTTGCATGTTACCCTCCCATTACTTTGCACAATAAAACTGAAACACCCCAAACTGCAGATTCATTAAGGCAAAAGTAGTAAATGAACAACAGATGCTATCTTGCACTTTTGGAAGACGTCATTCAGCGGGCACACCGTTAGCAGATCAGCTTACGTGTGAATGTGCTGGTGATATCAAGTTTGCACACGGAAACCTTTAGTAAATCTGGCCCTTAGTGAGGTAATAATTAAACTGATCCAGCTCCTCTTTCCTGCAGAAAGCGTCGTTGGAGGCCACCCTGAATGAGACTCAGAACCGGTACACCATGCAGCTGGCGGGTTACCAGAACCAGGTGACCATGCTGGAGGATCAGCTGACGCAGCTGAAGGCTGAGCTGGAGAGGCAGTCCCAGGAGTACCAGATGCTGCTGGACATCAAGACCAGGCTGGAGGTCGAGATTGCCGAGTACAGGAGGCTACTGGACGGAGAGGCCAGCAGCAGGTGAGCGAGCTTTAGTTATCTGAGAATTAAAGGGTTGTTTACAGGATATTGTGAGCTGATATCACAGCCAGATCTCCTGGGGATTTGTTATCATATCCAACATCCTAAACTACCTTAAACATCGCAGAACAGTAAAAATTTTGGAAACTCAGAAATATGAACTTGGTTTTGGATTAAAATCTGGGTTCTTTTCACAAATCCCTGACGTCATACTGTTGACATATTTAACATCTGTAATTGAGTGGAAACACCACTGAAACAACATTTAGAACATCATGAGACAAGAAAACTCTGAATAAACTCAGAACAAATCTATTATTTTGGGGTTAATTCTGGGTTTTATTAACTGTAAATCAAAACTTTTATAAAACACTTGGACTTTAGTTGCAGGTGTCAGAAACTGACACTTTATGGATTAAATTTGATCAGAAAATAGCTAAATAGACATTTTGAAACTATGCTAATAGCTGACCGCAGAATGCAATGAAAAATGGAGAAGATGCAGAGAAAAAAAAACAAATGTCATGAAACATCAAATGAACAGCACAAAAAATATTTTAATGTGAGATGAATAAAAATCTGACTGTGCTATTTGTCTCCCTCCTGCAGCCTGGTCATTTCCCCCACCACTTCCACCACCAAACAGAAAATTATTACTATTGTAGAGGAGGTGGTGGATGGAAAGGTGGTGAGCTCCAAAGAGACCGTCAGTCAGATCCTCTGAGCACCAGTAGGGGGCACACTCACAAAAATAATACAGGCAAATAAAAGTCTTCTGAGGTGCTTCAAAATAAAACGCTGTCTGTTCTGCTGTGTCTTCTGTTCAAACCAAAGTGTCTATAGTTGCAGTTTCTCTAAGGGTCACCAGCTGCTGCTGCTGTACTGAAAGGTTCTGAGGGTCAGGATTAAAGGTTCAGTATGTGATATTTCTGAGGACACAGAGCACTGAGATACAGTTCAAGGGTATTTAATCCAGGGCAAGACAAAACAGGCATGAACCAAACTCACGAGTACAAGGAAACTGGTACAGCCAAAAACCCAGAACAGGTAATGCATTAACTTGTAGCACAAACAACAGCCGAGTGCACATACATGTGACATGCAACAATGACCAGACAGGGAATGAATAGAAACACCAAACATTTATACACAGGGACAAACGAGCAGGGCGGGAGCAACACAGGTGACAGAGATCAGGGTTAACGAGGCAGAGAGACAGAAGGGGAAAACAGAGAGACTGGATGGCAGGCAGATTACTGGAGGTGAAGGCAAAGCAATACAGAAGTACAAAGACCAGTAGACGTGAACTAAGGTACAGGACTAAGAAGTAAAACACTGAACTGGGAACTAAGACACCAAGAAGACAGACATGAGTGAAACCCAAAACACAACAGACTATAAGACAGATACTGGACTGATCAAAAATCAAAAACCCACACTCCCAAACAAGACACACAGACTGCACCGTTTTACAACAAGCTGAAATTATGGCTATCGACACTACTTTGTATACTATTCAAGTCCTTCATGTCACTGAGCTGCAGCTGTGAACAAGAAGTCACTTCTTCCTCTTTGGACGTGTTGAGGAACCACAAAGTGTGCTGCTCTGGAACAACATGTTTCTGTACTTAAAGTCTGAACTTCTGCATCTCCTTCTGGTTGTGACTGGATATGTTTCATATCTACTGCTGAGAACAAAGTCACTGGAAGAATAAAGAAGAAGAAATGTCACATGATGTTTGTAAAGTGGTATTTAGGTGGTTTGAAAGGTTTTAAATGTGGCATTTTGCTGGTCCTGTTGATCTGGTCTTTGTCTTTGTGTCCCAGCTGGAATCAAATCCGTCCAGCTGGTCCCACACAAACTTTTTGGTTTGGTGGAGATTTGCAACCTACTGAGGGGGGAAAAGCTGCCAGGAGCACTTCTATGGAGTGCCATTTCATTCAAAATGCTACCCAAACTGAACAACACCTATCCTATCCTCCTTGCTTCCTGCTTTCTTACAGTGCAGATGCTTTGCTGCTTGCTCCTGCCTCTACTTCCATTCTTTTTCTGATATTCTTGTTTTTATTCAGAACTCAAAAAAGAGAGTGTCGAAAGCTGAACGCAGGTGGCGAAAAACAAATCTCCAGGTTCATTATGACATCTATAAAGAGAGACTTCGCATTTATAATTTAGAGCTGAGAAATGCAAGGCGGTCCTTCTTCTCTGACATCAGCAACAAAAACACTAATAATGCACGTGCCCCGTTTGCTGCTGTCGACAGGCTAACCAATGAATGAACCAATGTTATGAATTTGCCTCCTTCTTCACAGACAAAACCATGAACCATCTAGAACTCTCAGGTTGTCCCCAGAGTCAAAACTAAACGAGGAGAAGCAGTGTTTAGTTTTTATGCTCCGTATATCTGGAACAAACTCCCAGATAACTGCAGGTCTGCTGAAACTGTCAGTTCTTTTAAATCAAGACTGAAGACTTTTCTTTTTACCATTGACTTTAACTAGTAGATTGATAACTTCAACCCGGTCTCACTCCCAAGTCGTCACATATGGACGCTTGGTCAAGAGCCATAATCGTCAGTTTGTCACTCACTAGGGATCCCTTTGACGTCATAGTTCGACGTATTGAGGGAAGCCCTGTTGTGTCAGTTTTTGATGGTAAAGGCAAGTATGATATTTAAGAGAAAAGACGAAGTAAGGAGGTGATTGGGGTGGATAGAGGGCCAGAACCCGGACCTTGAAGCAGGAGAACAGGGTTTGCGTCCCGTTCGAAACAAAACATTAAATGTTTTTATTTAGGCGAGTGAGGTAAATTGACATTAACGTTAGTTAACTTAAGTCTTAATTGACATACATAGCTATTTTAACCCAAACCATGATCTTTTCCTAACCTTAACCAAGTAGTTTTGTTGCCTAAACCCAACCAAGTACTTTCTGTGCCTAAACCTAACGAAACTGCAACGTTTCACGACTTTAATTATGCGCGTTTCAACATGGCAATGTATCGAAACGTTACGTTTTATCTTGAAAGTGTAACCGGATATTGCATATTTATTGTTGCTAAGCATTGCTAACTTGACTGTGGATCCCTAAACGTCAATAATTGATGCAAAAGGGCTACCCAAGTCTTTAAAAAGCGACGACAAAGGGCCTTGACCATGCGTCAGACATTTGACGAGTAGGGAGTGAGATTGTGTTGATAACTTACACTGCACTGTATCTTTTACTGTCCTGTTTTGTTTGTCTTTGTTTTTAGATTTTAACCCTATTTAAAAAGCTTAGACTGCTCTTTTGATTCTTCCATCTCACACGGCTGATCCCCAGTTAACATGGCAATGTAGAATTACAAAGGTTAGAGTCCCTGCTTTCTTCGCTGTTAACTTGCTGTTAACAGCTTTTACCAGAGTTTGTAGCGTGGACAACCTGGGTTTACAGTGACGACTGTATCTAAGGGAGGGTTAGAGTCCTCTTGGGGTTAGAGTCCCTAAGTAACTAAAGCAGGGATAGAGTGGGAGATGGGAAATCAAAGGAGTAAAATAAGTAAAGGTGGGAGACCTGCCTGTTTTTATTTTCTATTTAACTCTTAGGGTCACAACAAAGTCTTTCTGACTTTTCTTTAATCTTTGCTCTTTTGTGAAATGTATGATGTTTTTACGCAACCATGTGAGAAGTTTAGAGGGGAAGTGTCAGTCCAACTAGATGCTTTTTGTGTGATGGGTTTGGTGAATTCTTTAACAGCGCATTGTGTTAACAAGATTCATTTATTTTTTAAATCTGAAAAGTAACTGGTAGCTAAAACTGTCAGACATATGGAAGGCAGTGAAAGTAGAAAGTAATGACAAATACAATATAAAATCTGTTGGTTTTGAATTGAAAAAAAGTTTAAAGATAAAATAGAAATAAAATCTCTAATACAAACATTCAGGTGTAGTTTAAAGCTGGATTGATTTTTAAAAATGAAGTCAAGAGACTAAGTTTTCACTGGGTTTATATGTGGTTTACAGCAGGTTTGACATCTCTCTAATAGATTGCCTTAATACTCACGATATAATCCTTCCTTTAGTATTCAGCCTTTACTTATTCTTAACACATCAGTTCGCTAAACTTTAAAAACCTGGATCTTCACATGTTAAATATCAGCTCATGTATGTTTGAACACCTCTCATCGTGTCTTAAACACCAGATCCAAAGTATTAATCTAAAAATAAATGACCTGTGTCCTTTTTGTACCTCTTGTAATATGTTAAAATAATACATTTTGTTTGTGAAAAAGGCAGAAAGAGGTGTTACAGCTGAGTCATTAGCTGAATTTAAACCAGACAGCAAGACAAACCTTTAAGTGAACTACTGCAGTGTCTGAGAATTTGTTTTTTATGGTGGAGAAAAAGTTAAGGAGTGCCACTCCACATGCTCTATAGTCACAAACAGAGGTCCATCAAGTGTCCTAAAAAGAGTTTTATAGTTCTCATAACATTAATGACGCTGCAGAGAAACAGTTAATCCATATTTTGTGTTTGTGTTGCAATTTTGTGTTCAGATATTTAAATCTTTAAAACTTAGAACATGAGACGACGTGTGTGCTGCTGCAAGTTATCAGAATCAGAATCAGTTTTATTGCCAGGTATGTGTACACATACGAGGAATTTGACTCAGGATTGTACATTGCTCACGATGTGCTTACTTATACAATAATAAAATAATAATATAATAAAATAAAATCAGACACAAACTACAGAATAGACAACACTAATATACACACTATGAACAAAACAATATAGACATATTGACAAATAGTGCAGTGATCAGAGTGCAAAGGATGCAATAGCAAACTATTCTCATTATGTACATGTAAAAGGTGGATATGATATACAGGTACACATACATGCATACATGTAGACATGTACACAGTGTGATGGAGCATAGTGCAAAGGATGCTGGAAAAAATAAATAAGTAAATAAGTGGAAACCAGTAAACAGGTGCTGATTAGAGACAGAGTTACTGGGTTATTACTCAGGAATTGTTCCTGACACTGTGAAGAAATCAGCTGTTCATCAGAGTGATGGCTTGTTGGAAGAAACTGTTCCTGAGTCTATTGGTTTTGGCGTACAGTGCTCTGTAGCGCCTACCAGAGGGGAGGAGCTGGAACAGGTTGTGTCTGGGGTGAGATGGATCTGCAGTGATGTTTCCTGCCCGTTTCCTGACTCTGGAAATGTACAAGTCCTGAATGGAGGGCAGGTTGGCACTGATGATTTTTTCTGCAGTCCTGACTGTCCGTTGTAGTCTGCTCCTGTCCTTTTTGGTGGCAGATCCAAACCAGACAGTGATGGAGGTGCAGAGGACAGACCAGATGATGGCTGTGTAGAACTGGATCAGCAGCTCCTTAGGCAGGTTGAGCTTCCTGAGCTGACGCAGGAAGTACATCCTCTGTTGGGCTTTCTTGATGACAGTGTCAGTGTTGGGCTCCCACTTCAGGTCCTGGGATATAGTGGAACCCAGAAACCTGAAGGATTCAACAGCAGACCCAGGGCTGTTGAGTATGGTGATGGGGGGCAGAGTGGGGGGGCTCCTTCTGAAGTCCACGGTCATCTCCACAGTTTTGAGCGTGTTAAGCTCCAGGTTGTTCTGGCCGCACCAGAGAGCCAGCTGATCAACCTCCCATCTGTAGGCCGACTCGTCACCGTCCTGGATGAGGCCGATGACCTTTGTGTCGTCAGCGAACTTCAGGAGTTTGACAGATGGGTCTCTTGAGGTGCAGTCTTTGGTGTAGAGGGAGAAGAGCAGTGGGGAGAGCACACACC